AACCTCAGGGCGCTTTTCTGCGTTCATTATCAATTGAATAGCAATAGCATGCTTTTTGTACCATCTGGGGAAAAAATGAGCTCATACGATTTCGTTAAAAAATCGCATTATTTTTTAATTAGTTCTGTATAGTATTTAAAAAGTATTTTAGATATAAATTCCTCCATTTATGCGCGATATAAATCACATTCATAATACCTGTGCAAAAATTATTATTTCATTCAGTAAAATGATACGCCTGCGTGCGTGTTATGTGTCTGTGTGTTATTCAACTTCCCCTAGCTGAGAGTCTCCTGAACAGCACAAGGTGCCGCAACAGTGCGAGCTAGTTATTGTGACGATATTTGGTTAGTATAAGTACCGCAGAGGTATAGCACTGACGTACGTATATCAAGTTAGGGGGTAACTATACTGCATAGTGATTTTACGTGCTCTTTCGGCCAAAACCTTGATATAGGTACGGTAGGATTGTCCCTAAAATCTTGTTTTTCTTTGAAATCTTTTCTGATACCTCAGTAAGCGTTTCGTATTTTTTATCATTGAAAGATATACTTCTTGTGAATTTCTTATGTACACTATATATACTTGCACATCTATACGCAATTTAATTTCCAGTTGTTAAAATCAGAATATTTCCGTTGATCGCGTCATACATCGCCGTTTAATTCTAAATTATAAGAGTATTTGTTGGTCTTGTACGGCTGCCTGGTGAATGAAATATCATTATGTGTTTACCAGTTATCATTATGTCTTTACCTAGAAAGTGATACTGTATTTGAATTTCGTTTGTGGTTAGGCGTTGTGCGTAACGAAATTCCTTTCCTTCCGTGTGTAACTAAAATTCCGAATTCCGCATAACTATAAAATCGTATTAAAAAGTACAATATATATGATTGCAATTGACTGACTCTACGAAATACAATTAGAATGCAAATTCTTAGAAGCGGTCTTCCACACTATGCGGAATTTGTTAACCGAAATTTTATAGCTGTTCGCACCGGCTAAAAATATGCGGCATGCGCGTAAAAATGTTACGGCTGGTCACACCCTTAAAAATATGCGTGTGATTTTTCTCTTCGTGAACTTATGTTTCGTTGGCAAGATTCTTGGAAGTCATACAGTATTTTAATTATTTCTTTCTTCTACAACAGTACCATGGCCATGCGGCCTCTCTGTTGCAGGAAAACGGCGCCTAAATTACGCCGCTGCGTGCAGTATGAAAATTCAAATAATTACATTTTTGGCAGTATCGCTGACGCAGTGCGGCGACAAAGTATATACCGTACTCTGTTGATACATGTGATGCGGAGTGATTATCATGAAAAAGATGATGTTAATCTCTTCCTTTGATTGTACTTTGATTGTTAATTAACTATGCAGGTGGGCATGTATAAACTCTACATGACGTGCAGATTATAGGACAGTAATGCTTGCATGCATGTGAACATTTTAATGTGTACGGTGACCTCATACTATAGAATTCAGCACTTTACCACCCTGTATTTGTCTGTCAACACGAGCGTTTTTAATCATGGTAGCGTTTTTTTCCCAAATCACTTCGATTATTTGTGAATATCATGCGCGCGGCGTCAAACTGTTCGCCAAGAGATTCATAAATTGTATCCAGCATGCATTTGTTGGATTTTATATATAATCGTTTTGCGAGAGCGTCGAAAACGATGCTCGGTTATAGCATGTGAAGTCGATGAAGAAAGAGAGAGAGGGGACGTGAGAAATGGGAATTATTTTTATATTGCAATGCTGTGTGCAGGATGATTCCTGTATGGCACAAATTATATTTGGTTATTATGTTATTTGACTCTGTGCAGAAAAGCTTTTGATTCGGCTCCCTATAATGTCGTTTGAAAAACACTTAATTATAGTTCTTGTATACCTCTGCTTTTTATGTTCAACAATATTTTTCACATTTGATTTCATATATTTAAGAGAAAGTTCGCGTGCGCGTCTATGGACTATGTGCGTGAGTGTTTTTATTGACGCCAAGAAGATAAAAAAAAAACATGAGTATAAAGGTATATGAGGGTATGGCATCAAATCAATGCCTTAGACTTCATATAGTGTTTCATTACACATTTTGATTTCGGAGGGAAAAAAGATTGAGAGCATTCCCTAAATGACTAGACGTGTGGGAGGGTATCCTATGCCCACATATGATTTTGTGTTTTTCTCTTTTGGTCATATATATATACAAGGAAATTTTGAATTATGAGCATGCAGCTAAAGTTTGTTAACATGGGATAGGAAGATATTTGTTGGACATATACCACAGGATATATACCTGGAAATAACAATTGTCAACTTGAACTTGGCTATCGTTATTAAAAAAATATTTTCCGATAGCCAGGTGACTGATCCTTTGCTGGATGCTTCTTCAAACACGAAACCTACAGAAGAGAGAGAGATGTGTGCAATAAAAAAAAAATTATTTTTCTAGCTTGTCTCCAAGACTTTATATAGCACTTCCATAAATGAATCCCTTTGTTTTTTTACCAAAAAACATATATTCATACATGTATCAGTGACTACAAACAATAAGAAAAATAAACCACGACCAGAAGAACTATAAACTATATTTAGTTCGTATGGCTGCTGGACGTCTTCCTTGAGTTAACCAAAGTCTACGCCTACGGGGTACAACGCTTCCGTTATTTTATAATCTGAAATTCGAATGATAACCGGCTAAATCTTGGTAAAACTCTTCAGTGCGGATCTTCGGTAGAAGATTATACTTTGGCCTTGTTGAATGTATAATTAGGAATTATTGCTGAATTTATTTACACTAATTCTTTCTGGCAATTCTCTCGGTAATGCAATGCCAATGTAATGGTGCAACACCGGTGTGACGCCTCTTGGATATCTTAAACATGCAACCTTCATTCTGTCTAACCGCTAAACGACGTAAGAAATGTTGTTTTTCTTACCAATAGCGTGCAATTTAGGATTGTGCTAATTTATCAATCAATTATTGTTAAAACGTGTATACTCTAATTGTCACGCAACAAGTGCTTGTGGTAATCCGCTTTTTTTGCCTGCGTGCGTAGTATGCGGAGAACCCGCTTTTAATTGATTTTATTTTGGTATTTCATAACGTACGTTGTAAGAACGTGACTATTGAAGCAGGTTATTGAAGCAGCACTCGGGTTAAAGAATCCTTGACGACTGGCTCGTGATACACCATTATAGGGTAGGGGGTTTGTTGGACGGACATCGGACGTATTGTGAACTGAAGAAACTGAGAATTATTTATCTCACTTCATGTCGATATCAAGACAAAGTATCACTCAGAAAATTGAGACTGCATGTATATATAAGTTATCAAAAAGAAAGCTAGCTTTTACCTGACAACTCTCTTATCAATATAATTAGAATTGTCGTTTCGATACGAATGTCATACAGTGGTTACTTGGTGGGACTAATCCTCAGATTATATATTTTATGCTATAGCCTGTGGATGAACTGTGAATGGTTGGATACAATGTGTAAATTTTTTCTCATCATATTTATTGCAATTTGAAATAGCATTTATATTCATGTTATTTATACAATTGTGTGTATTTGCCATGGCTCATATTAGTTTCAATATCCTCGCATAGAAATTAATGTGGTGACATTTTTATATATTGCTAATTGTAAACCACATCAATGTAATATGTCCTGTAGCTGTATTGGACATATATATAATATCAGATAATATGTATACATTGCAATAGCTAGGATTTTCTTTTATTGAAATCTATGCACATTGTAAATGTTAAATTTTTTAAAGAAAGGTAGAGTACTTCTTTGAATTGTTCTTTTCAACGGTCGATCGTGTTTCGTACCAAGCTGCTGTGACTGCCTTGGCGTCGAATATGTTGACTGTAATACAAAACCAACGCATTGTTAGATATTGAATTTCTTCAGCAAGACACGAACAGTCAGTATATAACCATAGACATGCACCTGCCTCGCGAGGTAGATATGTAGATTTTTGTTTAGACTATATAACAGTGTATGGATGATAATCTGATTAACGCTTGTGTATAGTGGCAGGGATGCAGGTGGCCATGTTTTAATCAATGCTGATTCAAAGCTTTTAAAGTAGATCTTTTATGATTGCACTAGAGATGAATATATTTCTATCAAAATTAATGTACAGTAGACGGCAGTGAAAATGAATATGAGTGAAAATGTATTGTTATGATGAAAGATATACCCTAGGGTAGATACATTTAACAAAAATAGATTATTTGAAAAACTTCCATTATTGTGGCACAAAAAGTATTATTTTAAATCTTGTCTATACAAAAAAAATACCCTTCTGCATTGCCACCAATAAGGACCGCCACACCGCTGAGATAATCCACTCATCACGTCACCCAACAGCAGTAGACTAACTAATAAGAATCTCTGATATTTGAACATAATTGATTCCAATAAGCGACAAATTATAGGGGTAATTTCCAGGCGTAATCTGCAGTAAAACACGTACAGGCTGTACAAGCAACACTCTTCAATTTAAAGATCTCTTTGGAAGACTTTTTCGGATCGATCACCTTTTTTAGCTCGTTTCGGCTGCGGTTTGCCAAAGAATCGTTTGAACTGTAAGCGTTATAATGGCATACAAACGGGGCATCCTATCGTTTTTATCTTCATTTTATTTATTATTAATCAATCTAGGTTGATTGTTAGACGATAAGGACAATGAGTTGTTATTTCAAGAGTGATTAGGTGTGTAGACGATAGTGTGTAAGCCGGCAGATTTTATTATAACCAACGTAATCGATTAACACAAACATTTTCTCAAAACGTTCTATAATCGTTGAATTGATCCATTATATATTTTGTGACCAATTTTGATCCATTATATATTTTGTGTGTGTGATATATTTTCGTCGATTGTGGCCTAATTTAATATTGTCGCTAAATGCCGTTGACGCGAGCGGTCAATCGCTCCGAGAAATGTATAATTATGAGAACAATTGGAATAACGAGAAAACAATATTTCTAATTTTTTATTTTCTGACACAAAAAGCATCAACCCACGGCGCTTTTAGCGCTGTTATTGACAATAAAACACGCCGGCAACAAAAAAGAATTAATCTGGTATATTGATGCATGCATAGTCTCCCATCCGAAGTTGCTAATTCCTATGTTATTGCCAAAAGTATATTTCACGAGTACCGATCACTCCAGCTTGCAAAAGAACGTGACGAGGCCAGTGACTCACCAACATCACTATATCTGCTCGGGTCGTAAGGAGCTCGTTCATACAGACTCCTATTGATATCCGGACGTGGATCAGGGCCGGTTGCGAGTGGATTATTTGAACCGGTGGTTATATCTAAATGATGTCTTCGTGACTGACCAGCTGTGCGCATTTCAGGTGTTGGGGACCTCCCACGTTCTCGAATGTCCCGCTCATTGTCATGACTCATCTTTCTCGATTCTCGTTTTCCTTTGGATACGGGCTGCTCGTCCAATGTTTGTTTACCTTTTTTCTTTCCTACACTTCTGGAACGCTTCTCGTTTTGCTTTCTTGGTGTATTTTGCAGAGCTCTTGCCGAATGAATGGAAGAGACACTTTGCTGTTCCAAATCACATTGAGTGGCTTCATTCTTTGCGCTTCTTTGTCGAGAATCGACAGCAAGTATTTTCTCTTTATATTTCATTTCATTATTCCAACTTTTAGAATTACGAGATGAAACTATTGACGAAACTGATTTCGCATAAAGATCCTCATGCTTGTTTCTGTCGTGGTGTTCGTCTGTTTTTTTCTCGGCTTCTTTTTTCAACCTTGTTTTAGCTTCAAGATGTTTAGCTGAACGTATGGAAGACATACTATCTTCATCAAGGCTTCTCTTCGTTGTGTATCTATTAGCTTCTCTTGTTTTCGATATTGATTTACTCTCATTCTGTTTGCTCTTTGATAATTTGTACGTTTTTGCCAACGGCTTGTTCCCACTCTCAGACACGTACGAGCTCAGGGTTTTGGAGTCTAAACTGCTCCTTCTAGCTCTTTGTGACCGTGTGTATTTTGCCTTCGGGATGGTGTTCCTTGGCAATGTCTGTTGTCTAGCAGGCGATGAACTAGGTCTCGCTGCAAGACAATAGGCGTCATCTCTTTGCAGTAAAACCTAATGATAGTGCAGAGAAAAATTGGTATTGTTGTTTTAGGCGGAATTAAAAACCAAATTGAGAAAGCAAAATAACCGAAAATTTCCATACTTTCTTGTACGTAGCCATGTCAATTTCGCTGCTTGGCGGAGGCTTCTTATCCTGTGTTGCAGGAACAGAATTTTTGTATGTTTCAGAATATTCTGTCTTGGATTTCCTATTTTAAGTGAAATTTCAGTGTTTAGTGCAAAATGCTTGACTTAATCGCATCCAAAAAATGTTAGAGATACCTGTGTTCGTCCTGAAATGGTTCCGGGTATAACAGGTCGTCACATGGACGGAGGAGTCTTTTGTCTTGTGGGTCAGCATGGTACGTTGGTATGCCTGCCGGAGGTAGCCTGTCAGGGGACTGGGGATTAGGTCTTTTAGCAGGTCTCTTTTGATCTGGTGTTTTGTGATCCCTCTTTGCTTTACTTGCACGGATTATAGGACTATCCTCTGCAACCGTTAGCTTTGCAAAATGCGAATTATATTCAGTATCTTCCACCTTCTTTTCATCCTAAATACACAAAATTTGGGAATTAACGGAAACAGAAACTCAAGTTTCAATAGTTCACAAAATTAAGAATTGATTTCAACCTTTCTTTTAACAGTTCCAGCAGCTTGTAGTTCACTCTCCCCATTTCCGACAGCATCAAGCCAGTCTTTATCATTCAACTCCTTCACAGTGCTTGTTGATAAGATGTTGTGATTATTTTTGTATGGTACGATTCTTTTTCTCTGAAGGGCAGGCTCGGTGACATTTGAAAACTGATTCGACAAAAGTCCAGCTCTTCTGCTACTTTCCTGAGCCTCGGGTGCACTTCCAGAAGGATGACTTAAAAATTTTGCCTTCGTAGTAACTGGTCTGTGGACTGCAAAAGTCTTGTACCGTGAATTGTATTCTGAATTTAACTGCAAGTATAATATTATCGTACAAGTTTATATGAATATTACAATACTCTGAAATATGCATGTTGCTAATATAAGCATTTGCCAGTTGTTTGCTAAAAGGTATGACCAGATATTTTCTCATTCTCGTTCTCATCAACACAACAATATACACTGTGATACACAGGCAATGTGTCAAAGTAATTACGAAACAATACTACATCGAGTGCGCGCGACAAACACATACACCACCTACGTACCTTCTTCAGACCCATATCCTGCCTACAAAATAATGAAATAAGCGATCGGACTTCTTCACAGAAAAATAAACGAAAAATTTAAACGTAAACAACGCCGAAGAAGCTATACTGCCTTGACGACCTGAGGACAACACTCCTATATGTCGTGTTTCGTGAAGTATTGCAGAAGGCAAGATCGTGGGCTTAGAAACGGCCGAAAAGCGAGGAATTGATAAAACATGGCGGCTCTTTTGGGTGAACAAAATTTTAACAAATTTGAAAATTCATTGGATTTTCCTGACTGGATAAATGCTCGTCATTTAACTGGGGTAAGATTTTAGTTTTGCGTTTGTAGTTCATGCGAAATCAAATAAATAATGTGCATTTTTGGTATTTTAGACAACAATTATGGCGGTCGAGTTTGCTGAAGGAGTTGTGATTGGTGCTGACTCACGAACGACTACCGGGTATAAAAAAACTTACATAGATTGTATTTTTTATCCGGACAATAGTGTAAATAGTTAAAGTTTATTATTCTCTATTTACCTCTAAAATACTATCACTGTAACACTAAGAAGTTCCAGCTTTATCTAAGATAACTAAGTCTGAAACTGAAAGTCCATAAAATTTAAAAAAAATTTCTAAGGCAATAGTTTCTTTTTAAATTTTGCAGATCTTACATAGCCAATCGTGTGACGGATAAGCTAACACCCGTCACAAAAACAATATATTGTTGTCGGTCAGGATCAGCAGCCGATACTCAAGCTATAGCTGATTATGTAAAATATCAACTAGATTTATACTCGTGAGTATTTTTATCATGTATGGACCTAATACAAGCGGAATTTTGTGTAATAACAGTGGTGGTGTTTCCCCATTCTTTTAGTCATGAAATTGGCGAGGATCCTTGTGTAAAAACCGCAGCAAAGATGTTCAGGAAATATTGTTATCATGGCCGTGATTCTATGTCGGCTGGGATTGTTTGTGCTGGATGGGATAAATATGACGGTGGACAGGTGAAGATACCTGCTGATACAATACATTATCTTTTGTACCTCCCACATTTTTTATGTTCAGATCTTGGCTTATCTGACAGAGGAGGTGCAGACTATTGCATAAGACAATGATAAGACAAGGGGAAATAAATTTTATTTCCTAAAAAAAATACTTTCAAATTTCAGGTATATTCCATTCCACTTGGGGGAATGTGTGTTAGACAACCTTTCACAATTGGAGGTATATCAGTTGTGTTTTTTGTAAATATGTAATAATGAAATATGTTGTGTATATGCACCTGTCCGAGATGCATGAATTAATAAATGTAAATGATTAAATATTATTTGAATTTAAATAAAGCAAAAAACCCTAATTCATTGAAGATGTATGACATTGTTACTTTAGGATCAGGCAGTACATATATCTATGGTCATTGTGATGCAACATTTAAACCTGGAATGACAAAAGATGAATGTTATAAATTTGTTGCAAATGGTATGTAGTATCCAAAATATTCCACTACTAGCAAAAGCCCTTGTTCTTATATTAGCCTGGTCTTCACCTCTTGCCAACATTAAGCACAAATGGTATCTTCAGTCCCTCATTAGTCCTTTTGCTAATTGATTGTGACAAATTATTAAACAGAGCAAGCCAACACAAGTGTCATTTTTTATCTTGTAGCTGTTTCCTTGGCTATGTCACGGGATGGTTCCTCTGGTGGAGTAATACGGATGGCTGCTATAACTTCTGATGGTTTGGAGAGAAAAGTTCTCACTGGAGATGAGATACCAACATTTTTTGAAGGCTAGAGTTGTTTCTGGTATATTCTCATTCAAGTTTGTATGAAAACTTTTAAAAGATCCACTAATCCACCCAGATTGTTGGTGTGGGCTAGATGGCAGCCAGAAAAATAGTAAATTTTTCAGGGATAATAAAATTGTTAAACTTAGTAACAGTGCTAAACTTGTACAGCCTTTTATTACAAACATTGGATTGGAACAGCTTGGTGGAATTTATATTTTTGATGCATTTTTGAGGTAAGTGCGTTTTTGAGGTAAGTGCTTTTGTGCTATACATTCACATGTGTATACAAAATGAGCCGGGTTTGGAAAGAAACACACTTTAGTGGCAAAAAAAGGTCATACTAAAATTGTGTTACAAATAAAAAAATAAAACCTGGTGTATAAAAACACAAACTCATACAGAATAAGTATATTCATAAAATTTTTAAATGAATGTTTTAAAATTCAGATAATATACAATTATACAAGTGTTAAATCTTTATATTACTTTTAATTACACTATTTAAAATGTTTAAATGAGGTAAAAAACTACCTAGAAGGCCTTGAAAGAGTTGCCTTGTTTGGTACATTCATACCTGCCAGTTTTTATAGTTCAACTTAATCTTTTTAAAAATCATAAATGTTTGTAGGACAAACCTTAACATCCACCAATTTAATGAATTTGTAAAAAATAAAGTTGATATATTACATGTTCCTGAGCTGCATGCAGCAACAGGTGTTTCTCCAATGATATATGAGAAAGGTGCGGCTTGACCTAGTTGTTCACTATGGTACTGAAGAGCAAATGTATCTACTCGATCTCAAAGCTTTGTTCGCAAGAATTTACATTGAGTCTCCTCACTGTGGACTTACAATCTGAAATTAGTGTATCTTTGACTCATTGATGACTGTCCTCCGCTTCTGGATACTCCAGCCATGTATGTCACACCTTCATGCAAATGTCCAGGGGTATGATGCAATTCTCTTGGTGAAGGAGCCGTATGGTACATCCCTGGCACGTTGATTCCTGGTCGTGGTGAGGTCATGACCACCCCGTGACCACCATGTGCTGCTCGTTGCTTCAACATCGTCCAGTCAAATACATAATCATATTGGTAGTTCAGGGTGCGAAACAGGATTCGAAAGAGTTGCCTTAGGTACATGTAATCGGGGTTGTCCATGAACTGTAAATTCCTGCAATAGTTGAGGTACATAGCGAACTCAGCAGGGAAGCCACGACAAAGAAGCTCTACGGGTGTCGAAACCTTTTTCTCGCTAATTTTTTCATACTTCTGTTTCTTCGTGACCGCTTTTAACCCCTGCCAGGGCAAACTGGTTCGATTGAAATACATCAGGACATAGCCCAAAGATTCCAGATCGTCCCGACGCGATTGTTCAAGTCCTATATGAGCATTAATGCTTGCGTACCTTGCTGTGCCAGTGAGGTTCTTGTCCTCCCTGTAAGGAATGTGTTGATATGTTCGGCTGTCACGATACTTCTTAGCCAGCCCGAAATCGATCAGGTATACCTTGTTACAAGACTTTCCTACTCCCATTAAGAAGTTATCTGGTTTTACATCACGATGAATGAAGTTCTTGTTATGAACGTACTCGATTCTGCTGATCATCTGATCGGCGAGCATCAGAACCGTCTTCATGGTAAAGCGACGTGAACAAAAGTTGAAAAGATCTTCTAAACTCGGCCCTAATAATTCTATCACAAGCGCGTTGTATACGTCTCGATCTTGCCCGTACCACAAAACATTGGGAATACCAACACCACCCTGCAGAATACGGTAGAGTTTTGATTCATACAGAAGTTGAGGATGACGCGCTTTTTGCAGTTCTAGTTTCACGGCTACTTCCTCGCCAGTATTTCGGTTCACTGCCAAGTATATATCGCCGAAGGAACCGCTACCAATCTTTCTTAAAACGCGGTATTTATTCCCGATTACAAACTCGGAACGTGCGTCTAAACTAGAGGCCATTTTCTGGCAGAGAAAATGGGATTCAAACGAGAGTCTGAATCAAAGCTTCGGCCTTGTTTATGTCTGTACCTCATCTGTGTGCTGTGTTTCTCATTTGTAGCAATTAGGTCGCGTGACCTCACGCGTCTCGCGATTAAAGGTCAACCCACGCGTGGAGTACTGCTGAAACTCGTGTAGGAAACTTGCACGGAAAGCTTACTTATACCGGGAAAATATCGCAATAAGGCTGCCAATATTGTGATTATGGATATTTCTCTCCATCTCTTGTGTGTGACTTCCATTTTAACGAATATTTACTTTGAGAATATTGTGTATACATTGGAATTTTTTCGTGGCTATGTGGGTGGCGTCAACGAAGCATTGCCACAACCGAAGGTTAACGGGTTAACGTTGATAGAACAGTTTCTTATCTCTTAATTCAATTTTTTTAGGCCTCTATTTAAAATTCTAAAAAAAAATATTTGTTCTTTCTGTAAGATGTAAATAATTACAAATTAAACATATCAGGTGATCTTTTTATTATATTACTTTACATAAAAAATATATATATCATATCTCTTATATACATAAATACATAGGATTTGTCCAACGATAGCGTGATTCGTCTGAATATACAAGCACGTTTCTCGTTCGTGCATGTGTGTGAGGACTGAGTCACCTTTCGCATAAAGAAACGTTTGTTTCTTAATTTTGAGTGTGGCCGTAAACGGAAACTTGCCGAGTTTCTTAACTATATAATGGCACTTTGCCTGACCAGTCATAATCATAATTATATTCATGGCCAAGTTTCTTCAATAAGTCACGAAACATCCGTCTAAGGAGAGAATAGTTTGGCGCCTCTGTGAACTCTAACCCGCGACAATATCTCAAGTATTCAACAAATTCTTGAGGACAACTTTCACAAAGAACTTCTAGTCGAAATCCTCTTTTCATTTCACCGATCTTGGAATACCTGTGCTTCTTGCTCTGCTTCCTAGCAATGCCTTGCCAGGGTAAAAAACCCCGGAGAAAGTACACCAAAACGTAGCCGACGCTCTCCAGGTCGTCTCGCCTGGTAGCTTCGATTCCTTGGTGCGTGTTTACGCTTGCATATCGTGCTGTGCCTGTTAAACTTTTTCCGTCACGAAAGCATATGTGCTGGTTGGTTTTAACATCACGGAAGGTTTTTGATAAGCCAAAATCGACAAGATACAAAGTGTTTTTCGTATTACCAACTCCCATAACAAAGTTCTCAGGTTTAATGTCTCTGTGTAGTATGTTCATGTTGTGCAGATACTCCAAACGGCTGATCATTTGGTCGCCCAACATCAATACAGTTTTTATCGAGAATTTTTTCTCACATTCATTAAAGAGGTCGCCCAAATTTGTTCCAAGCAAGTCCATGACCATCACGTCATAAAATGGCATAATCTGACCAAACCATCTCACTGTTTGAAAAATAAATGAATGTTTATTAAAATAAATAAATGTTTAAAATATAAATAAAACGGTAGATTTAGGATAGTATTTTGTAGGCACTGCACGAAATATTCTATGATGTTTGGACTTGGGTTTACATTGAATAGTTCGTTACTTTTGACTCCGGTCGCCCAAGGCTTGCTGTTAATTTGGCACCGAGTTGTCTGAAGACCTTATTAGGAATATGGAAAGCAATGCCTTGAATGAGGTCATTGTGCGACAAGTTGCACGCAAGTGTGTATCAGACCGCATCGCTAAAAATATTCTTCGCTATCACTGTCCAAAAAGGAACTACTTCAGTGTGATGATGCAATGCTTGATAAATACACTGACTCAATAGAAGAGATTTAGTGAAAATCCGATCGGAAGGCATTCTTAACTTTTTTTATTGCATCCATTTTTTATCTCCGCGTGAGTCAGTGTACGTGTACTACGTGATTTAGATTACCCATTTATTTACACAAATACTTATCACGAGTATATCTTTATCCTCTCTAGGCAAACGTTGGTGCAAATTAATTACATTTAAACGCTTGCGAACAAATAACTTTGTTATTTTAGAGAGAAGTGTTATTTTACCAACTTAGCCTGAAGTGTTTTGTTTCGTCTCGCTCTTGAAGATAAATTTTAATACGCAAAAGTAAAATTCAAACGTGAAAAATCCGTGTCAATGATCCTGCTTTCTCCTAATAAAGTACTCTCCACTATATAAAGAATCTCAGGCTTTAAGTGCGTCACATACCCCGCATTCAAAAATCAAAGTTTCGCACTTGACATCAATTCAATAATAAATTCCTGTTTACCAACTTCTTCCTAATAAGTCTTGACGCCAGTGTTGAAAATCCTGTTTCGAATCGCAAACGCAGATAAATTCAGTCTACATAGTTTTTACAAATATTATTAATAGTCTAGCTTATTAATGTTTTCGCTGTGAATTTTTTTGTGATTTTATTTTATCGATTATGTTAAAGACAATGATCTTGATAATACATAATTACATATAACGCCAATTGCCAAACTAACTGCATTTGTTTTTATAAAATCCAATTATGTAAATTGTAGTAATAACCTGCGGGGACAGAGATTTTAACCACCTTGTCTTGTAGCACAGCTTTATATTTACTAAAATTTTATATCCAAACCGATAATCCCAAAATTGTTCGAAAACACTGATAATAGTCTTTCAGAACCCAATATCGGCTTGTCAACGCATTGTGTTTTTAAATAGTGAGTCGTTAACTTAAACAGGCTGACACATTAAAACTGTGCTCACCTTTTGGGAAACCAACTCCATGTCGTAGTAGCTTGTAAACTTGTGCTTCGCGCGCAAGTAATGAGCCAGTTTTAACTTCAAGTTTGACAGCAACGCGTTCATTTCGTTTTGTATCAAGACCATGAAATACCACACCGAACGAGCCCTGTCCCAATTTGTGTTCAATCAGATATCTTTCATTCACCAGCGACATCTTGTTCGCCTTGTAGCTAGTCACAAATGCCCCCATAGTGTGGCGTGTTGTCCTTCTTTTGTTTCTGAATCGGTGTTGTTGTTTCGCATGCGATCATTAAATGTCTCTCTCTCAGACAATACTAGCTGGAATAAACCAAATGTAAACTGAATGTTTAATGAAGGAAGTTTCGCGGGGTGTCAATGACATCATTACTTCCTAGCACGCCCACAGCTTTAATAGGGATTGTCAGGGGTTACAAGGATGTCGCACTTGAGTAAAGTAACATGGAGACTAGACCAGGCGCTAATACAATATTTTGCCGACGCTTTTCTGAAGAGCGAAAATTACAAATGAGTAGAGGATGACTATGCTAAAATGAGTTAGGACAGCTGGTCTAATCGCGCAAAGTTGTTGTAGAGGAACATTTCTGATTTCTGATGGATAGGGGTTAGGAAGAACTCTACCCCTGCCCCTTTAATGCGCATTTCCTGGGCTATAACGTAATCGCAACAAATCATCATCATTTTCTATTTAGTAAAATTGTTACCACAAATCATATTACTGTGAATGATGTAGGAAACTCTCATATCTTCTTCAACCATAATCAAGCCCGCAAGCGAAGCTTTTGTTCTCATGTATCACCGACATTCAGCGATGTAGAAATATCAAGCCTGGCCCTGGTTCTCATGCCACTCTGATGGTCGGCGGTGGCTATTACCGGTGATCGTTAAAGAATAAAGTGCTTTGTTTTTTTAAATTAGTTTTCCTCGGCGGCTACAAACAATATATCTCCTACTGTCTGTGACAAACTTACGCATTATGGCGTGGCTTAGATTTCTTCCGCTCTAACTCTCAATCCCCAATTCTCAATCCCCAATTGCCTAGGTGATAACGAGAACGGGTAATTGATGCTTCCGTTTATCCTGGAGGTCTAAAACACAGACGATTTGATATACACAAAGACAATTGCCTGAAAAAAAATGGGAGAAATCGCGTGTCCTATCCTTAGTCAACCTTGCATTGGACGGATGACCATATACCGCTGTTACGACATGACACTCCTTATAACCTTCATCATGTAGAGGAAAATGTTAGTACTGCGCTAGAATATTGCCGCTATTAGATTCTGTGATGATAAAACAAGACAAAGTCCAAATGAACATTATCATACAAGACGAGATGAAGCAAATAGATTTGAGTATTTTTTATTTTGAGTAAGTATAACACAATAGTCAATAGAATATGTATATACAATGTAATAATTTCGTTTCATGTTAAATTTATCTCGTATTTTTAATATATATTGTAACACTTAATTTTAGTTATTGAGCTATAAAGTACTTGAATATTTACGTGGGCAAGTTGATGATCAAAATAATCAAGAACAACCAATGGCATACTCCAATTCTTCTTCCACTACCAAACAAGGTTGGATCAAATTTAAAACAATTTTTGTCCTCTGTATTTTTGGCGACAACATTAAACGCGAGTGCCTCGCAAAACTCCAATCCGTGTTTATACCTGCTACCGATGCTCTGGCCATCATGTTTAGCTGATCCACAATAACTGAAGATTTCATCACAATAGGAATGGCAAATTGACAGTGTTTGATTATACCAAAGATCCTGATTTGGACTACAGAAGTAGCACATGAGATAGTTCATCCTATTGTAGCATCCTTTGTCACTGGTCAATAGAGCTGGCATCTCATTGAAAACTGCAGCCACATCTGTCCTCTCGCAGCAAGAATTCTCGCGATACCACGTACAGTTGGAAAGACTGTATGCTTCCTTGGGAGAACGCGTGCCACCTATTACAAATATTAACCCAGAATTACACTACACTGTTTTTAACCTGAACAGCAAAGCTGTTAAAATATACTCTATTGTGGAACATCGAGAATTCACAGACACTATGAATGAGAACGTTTTATTCCTGATTCTTGCAACAAATTGAATTTGCTGTTCATGCATCTTGTCTAGTAGAATTTAGAAAATATTCATTGACATTTTATAAAACCGTGTCCGTATACGGTCGGCGCTGTACAGCGCATGCATTAACGAATAACATACTAAAACACCGCTTTTGTTACCACAAATATGCATGAATAAAGAGCAAATATAATCCGTTAAATATACTCACCAAAATATGTACACACCCGAGTGTCCCCACTTGTAAACAAAGGTACATTTAATATTGCGCAGAATGACAACACCGCCAAAATTCTGGCTGCCATTTTGGCAGATGTTTATTAATTTATTTCCCATCATTCAAGTGGTCACAGATAAATTGCAACATAGTTTTCAATCACGTGAATGCGTGAATATTATTTTGTAACTCCTCGGGTGCTGTTCGGCGACTTTCGGGGTATCTAAATGAGTTCACCACGTGGTGTCATTTTGTCAACAATGAGCGTATTTCCAACATGGCGCCGACGAAGAAGCGTGTTAAACAGGAGAAATTCGACGTTGGTATTTCTGTGAAAAACCTGTTTGACTTTGGAAAAGCGGTCATACTTGACCCTGCCAAAACATGGATTGTGGCAATATTACTTTGTATAGCCGAGTTGGCGGTTAACTTAGTGGTAATATGGAAAATAAAATGTAAGAATCGTGAATAAGACTCGTTGCTCTTCTGCTGAAGTATTAAAATATTAGTGGTCCTAAACTTATATGGTTTTTCTCACAGGGAAATATTTCTATAACGTTCTTCGTTTCTATTTAAAAGTAGTGGCTATTTAGCTACTTTGTCGTGCAAATATGTTGAAGATCTTGTTGTTTCAGATACTGAAATTGACTGGGAAGCTTATATGCAAGAGGTGGAAGGTTTTTTAAATGGTACCTATGATTACATGAAACTTGAGGGCGCAACAGGACCGTTGGTGTATGTGAAAAGAGACTATGTTTTTAAACGATAATAGATTGACCAATAGCTGCTTAATTTCAAGCATTATTAGTGTACCGTCTTGTTCTGTATTGCTTCATGCAAAGGAACCAAATTCTTAAACCGGCATAAATTTGATCTGAATATAAGTATCCTTTATATAAAAAGGATTTTCGTTTATCCTTCACTAATAAACTAAATGACAGCGTGTTTAGACATAGCAAACAAATCCAGCCATGCATTAAGATGTATATCTCTTTAATTACTAAATTATATTTACATAATTGTTCATATATCAAACATTCTTTGCCATCATTTAAGATATTTGCGTACATAACATTACTCCTACAAATAATCCTTTGATGTATTTATACTCACAGTTGTTTTTTCAACTTTAGCTATCCAGCTGGGTTTGTATACATCTTCAGTGGTCTTTACCATATCACTGAACAAGGGAAAAATATAAGAATTGCTCAATATTTATTTCTTGCACTTTATCTATTGACTTTGGTCGTCGTTTTTGCCATTTACCAAAAAGCATTAAAAGTAAGTGCAGTAAAACAACGTTTCACACACTAATGTTTCTTTATATTTGTAATTTGAATAATTCTTCAAAAATATGGCATATATTTCTCTTGGTTTTATAGGTACCGCCGTATGCCTTCTTTTTCATGTGCTGTGCGTCCTACAGAATACATTCCATTTATGTTCTCCGGCTTTTTAACGATCCTGTAGCAATGTTTTTCTTATATTTTGCTACATATTTGTTTATTGAACAGCGCTGGAATTGGGGATGCCTATTTTTTAGGTAATATGGATAAAATGTCTGTAATGGTCAGGGATATATATTCTCACAGCTTGAGATTTATGCTGAGCGCTTGAGCAAGTGAAAGCGTGTTGAAATGAAATCCAAATTCTACTTTCATTATATAGCATTGCGGTCAGTGTAAAAATGAACATTCTGTTGTTTGCTCCTGGACTGTTGTTCTTGCTACTTGAATCTCATGGTCTTCTGGGAACTCTTCCAAAACTTACAATATGTGCTGCGACGCAATTATTCCTGGCGACTCCATTCCTCATTACGAACCCTTTCGGCTACGTTGCAAGATCTTTTAACCTGGGCAGGCAATTTTTCTTTAAGTGGACGGTCAACTGGAGATTCCTACCTGAATGGATGTTCCATAGTCGCTATTTACATGTTTTTCTTCTACTACTCCATATTGGATTTCTTTGTATTTTCTTCTTTTATAAATGGAAAGGGTAGGTGGTCCCACTGTCCGCAGTAGGCCAAAGAATGAGGAACTATACGTTTTCAGTGATGATATGATTTCTGTTGATGATATGATTTGTCTTGATTATGTCTTTAATGAATTGTTTTGATGGTGTTTCAAGGTCGACGACTTCGCGATTTTTGCTTTGTATTTCTAGGTCTCGTGAAAAAATTGCAGCCTACTTCCAAGTAAACTATAAATGTAAAAAAATCAGTACAAATGGTATCCTTATTGTTTGCGAAACAGGATATAGTTAAAGCGACGAAGGCTTCAAAATAGATGGATGCAATTTCACTTGTTTTTCTATCTTTTTCAACTATACATGACTGGAAATTCATTCCTTGACAATAAAAACCAGATATTCTAGTTTTGTTATTCACCTCAAATTTTATCGGAATAAGTTTCTGCAGATCGCTTCATTATCAGTTTTATGTTTGGTATTTTCATACTTTGCCATTTTTATTGTGGGATACAAAACTCCAAACTCCAATCAGGTGAGAAAGAATATATATTTTTCTTATAAGTGCATTAGACAATAACTTAAGATAAGATTATTGATATTCATATAGTCTTTCCCCAACCTCAGATATGGTATTTTGACGATTCTTGTATATATTTTCAGAATCCTAATACTTGGTGTTATTGAATTATGCTGGAATACGTACCCGTCGACTAATCTTAGTTCTATATCTCTCCATGTGTGCCACTTGGTTTTGTTGATATCACTCTTATTATACGGAAAGAAAGACGTATCAGAGAGCGCGAAGAAAACTGGCTGAAGTCAGTGAATTATTGTTATCAGGATATATAGCAACATATGCAAGCACTATTTTGTCACAATCATTGTGTTCTATTTTGGTTCAAACAATGACGCAGCCAGGATTTCCGTTTCAGCTTGGGAACAGATCAACTTCTTGGGGAAACAAAAATTCTAGTCCGAGTGTTTTGGGAATCACTTTTGTGAAACTAAAGAAAAACTAAAACGAAATTCGTCTGCAAATTTCTCGTGCATATATCGAGGATTTAAACTTTTGCATCGCCATCAGTCACTTGTTAATTAATGTAGGAAAAAAGAGACTAATATTAATAAAGTGTAAAGTATTGTTATCAATCATGCAGGAAATGGGCAGGTTCAAGAGGAGGGGAAAAAAATTTAAGGGAGGAAACCTAATTATGTGTTGTTATCCGTTCTACATAAATAATAAATTGAAATTTATTCTTGTTTGTAAGACTTATGCCCGTATCGTAAAATTAGGGAATTACGATACAGAGCTAAACATTATCCCAAACAATTTCCGATAGCCTCAAAGCCAAGGCTTGGGAGAGACTCGGAAAGAGCAAATTAGTATAAATAAAATTTCAGCTAAGACAAGCGCGTTGAGCAATAATTGAGCCAATATTAATGTTGTCGAGGTACAATATGAATGTCTGATTTAACTGATCAGGAAGAAACTAAAATCGAGCATTGCATGTGTTCAAACGTTGTCAATATGCAGTGTTGATGTTATTTTTTTTGTGATTTTGAGCAATTGACATTCCGTTTGCTTTTTGCAAAACATTGTCATGTTTTGAGTTACTAAATTGGTCTCATGATCATACTGCATGGGCATCGATCCAAAACTCTAAACTTTCTGTCTGGTTTCAAAGTTTTGTGTTGTATCCTTCTTTCATTTTGTTGCAGAATTCATTTCCGTGCTGGTCAGATTTCACAAACTCTTGTTTCAATTTGGCAGGGAGAACGAAATGGTCTTGGTTTTGAAAGTTGCAGGAAGTTTTTTACTGCTTTTGATTTATTTCTTGACAATCTTGCTTTCAAGTTTGATCGCCCTGTGCATGATCCTTAAAGAATATCGTATACGATATCAAAGTTGAGACACTGACATTCATAGGCTAGACTAGTCTTTTGAATGATTTATTTAGGCACTACCTGTACAATAATCTCTCATTACGCGGTTCTAGTTTATGCTATCAAAATTAAAGCAGTTCTTTATGACTTGGTCTTTAAAATACATAAATGTAGTACGAGTAAAATGGCTCTTATAGACCTTAATAATTATGTTTAAATATGATTTACGAATATTTACAAATTACAAATTACAGCTAGCGTATAGTTATTTCTTCACAGGCGATATCCACATGAAGAAACTGCAGTATATTTACATAATATCTTTACAGACGAACTCATGCAAAAGCTTAAGATCAGCCTCACATCAGTCGGCCAACAAATATCTTAGGATGCATACAAGTTTCTCAGAACAAAGAATATTAATTCGTTAATTGTTTTTGCTCTAAATTGTTTTTCATTGCTTATTTCCTATACAGCATCTATTTAAATAATATGAAGCGAAATCATACGTACATATATACAATGGCAATTATTTCTCAAAGTTTTGTGTGTTATTACTCGTTTACTCAAGGAATTTCATTGTACTTCTGCATCAGTTTACTTATTTTAATTGTTATGTACAAGTCAAACAGTCCATTGTATACTCGTTTCAAGCCAAAAACCAATGTTATATAAGCATGATGATGATGTTAATTCTCTTCTTGTTGTTGAAGTATTTTATCGACCAGCAAAACGGTACATTTGTGCAGCAGCCAAGTCGGATGAACTCGGCGAATACCCACCATTTTTTACGGACGTGAAAACTGTTGGCCCGCAGAACGGCGACGATTTGTAAACTTTACTCGAACTTTTCGATTTTACTTCTTTGTCTTTTATCAACTTTTTCTGACTTGATGTCGACGCTGCTGAAGTTAAACTGCTGGAACTTGAAGCAGCAGAGCACGAATTTGGTCTATAGCCACTCGACATTGAGCTGCCAGCTGAGGAATTTCGTCTCCTCTTTGACTTCGACTTAAAACATTGAAAAAGTGCTGGCGATGGAGTGAAGTTACCCATTTTGATGCTGCTTTGATACTGGGGATTGTTCAAGCTTTTGAATTCTTTCCTCCAAGCAATCTTTATTTCAGTTGTGCGAATGTCTGTCTGAACAGCCTTTACGCTAGCGTTGTTTACGAAATCCCACGTTACTATTGTTAGTTTAAAGCGGAAGAGCTATTTGATTGTTTTGAACGATGCCCTGGCCTTTAAGTACTGCTGTTAGTGAAATATGATAACAGTTTACCGAGCAAACTATCAGTAATAAACCGTGTCAAGACTTCCGCGCCTTTATTGATTACGTTTTGCTGCCATGCCTTCCTGTGACGCCTGTATGGTGTCAAATGAGCGCTGAGCGAAGTTCGAAGAATCAGGAAACTTCCTGTGTTTGCATGACGATTCTAGTCTTGCACTTTTATAATCGGATGATATTATGCCGCGTCAGATGAGCCGTGCAATGCTATGACTATATCTCTGCCTCGAGCATTCTTTGCTTCTAAAGGTGTTGGGCTATGTCATGCCACTAATGCCAGTAATATAGAACACATGAGAAATATCGCTATTGCATAGGTTTTATTTGCATACACTGGAAACTAGTTGTTCAAATTGTGTTTCCTTACTCAGCCCTAGTAAACGTTGTAGTATGATTTTGGTTGAGCTTTGGCATCACAGCCAAACATAAACCAAAGGAACTGGATAATGGCCAATTTCGAATCAAAACAATTGATTGATAAGGCTAATTTCTAAGAGAACTATGCACTTGGCTGGGCTATATTGACAGGGTGTTGAGTTCGAGTGCCATGCATGTTGTCTGAGACGCTGAAACGCGCTAGGACCCACTAGGTGAAGTTGAAACGCTGTTTCAGAAAGCTGGTTTGAATCCCTTGCGCAGGAACTATGTGGAACTTTCTTATCTCGTCCTCTACAGAAGAGGACTGTGCAAAACTGAGATCTAGTCAAGGCATAAAAGCAGAAGAAAAAATACACGGCGTTTTCAGATGCGAAGCTGATCAGTTCCCGCACTGGTTCAATGCACGTAACTTCAGCTTATGAGCTGATATTAACTTATAAGCTGATATTAACTAAATATTCATCTTTTTCAGAAGCTTCTTATTTGAACTCGTTTGAACGCATCTTCGGGATAACTTCGTGCATATATATCAACAATAATAGGGCCCGATTGGTGGCACTGAAGCGAGGTCAAGTACTATGTTTTTCTTCTTGATGCGAGATAAATTTATAAACTGTTATATACATCCTTATGTATGATTTCTTTGTATTTATGCGCGGTAGGTTTTCGTACCTATTTTTCGAACTACAACAAGCTGTGTGTAGTATGAAATAATATGTACCCAGCTGGTGATGGTATCACAAACAATATTAAACCAGTATTTACAAGTACTTTTTTTAATTCTTGAGTCTTGACAACACAATTAAAGAGTCGTGTCTGAAGATTTTTGTTTTTCAGTTTGTCAGTTTTGTTCCTGGTATTTCATTATGTAAATTGTTTGTACATTTGGTTAAGTACAGTAGTTCTTCGTCTGTTGGTGGACCGTGAGCCGTCCATCTGACAAGGCCAGAATGATCCAACAAAATGGCATGCCCAACCAAGCTATTCTCAAAAAGCTTATCAACAATCTCGGATGCTCCATCGTAACAACACAAGAAGCGATCCTAAAATAACAAAACAAAAACACGAAATTGATTTTAGCAATAATGAAAACAATGTGTTGCCTAGTAAAATTAATGAACTAGGTAATACCTGGCGATCTAAAGGTATTTGTTTTTGTAGATTCGTGTTGATGAATAACCTCATCTTTCTAAACAACCAGTTGTCAATCAAGTTCACCTGTGGTGTAATTTAAAAAAAAACACTGCCAGACAACAAAGATATGTTTTGTAAAAACATTTAGTGTATCTTCCATCATATCTCTAGACTCAAAATCTGTTGGGAAAGATTGATACATCCGTTATGAATCGCCGGCTTTTGCCGTGTAGGTATATCTTCCCGCCTTTAGGATTAGACTTTCGCTTCAGCGGATAAACGTAATAATAACAAACCTATCCCTTATTAATCCAATTTTAATCCAATATTAACGAGGGAATGTGCGTACCTCGTAATAATTTGTGTTCCTGATAGTTTTAAAATTCTTCCAAAACGTGTTTCGATACATGTCGCAGGCTTTCTATTATGAGAACACATATTTCAGAACTTGTATAACTTATAAAGTCCAAACTAAGCTATATAATCACGTTTTGTTTAATTCTGATTTTTTTTTATTTACAATATTCAGTTGACCTGGCCATGTTGACGAGTCCACAGTAGAAGTAAGGTGACGCTACCCCGACAATCTTGAGGGAGAGTCACGGTTTGACCCGCCAGTGCCATTCCTTGAATTGATGGCAAAACTGTAGATTCCTAAAATTTTACTGGAAGTTTATGAGAATTTCTAGAAACGTATATATGCAATTAGATACGTGCAATTGCAATCACACTAGATAACACTAGATCTGTTTGTTGTACAATCGCACCTCCTTAGGAAATGGTTCACTCAATGCCAGATATCGTTTTCCACCTGTGGTCCTCACTTCTACAGTTGACAACCGTTTAAAAAAATGCATTTAATTTCCGGTGAACCATCTTGATTTGCTTTGATGAGTTGTCAGATGCTTTGTAATTATATTATTGAAATAAAAAAATGTTCAAACATTTAACAAATACCTTTATTAAACAAATACCTTTTAGATCGTTAATATAACCCTTTTTTAGTTCAGCTAAACTAAAAGATATTTTTACATAAATGTGAATGTTAGAAATTGTTACTCCATTGTCGCTAGATCTAGGATCTTATGGCTAGCTCAGTAATTAACTTACATTTTCTCCCGTTTTTCTTGTCGTTCTTTAGTTGTTCCGAAAATTTGCCTTATGGAGACATGGCTTGAAAATTTTTTAAAACCTTGAAAGATTTGATTATACCGAAAACAAGGGAGAATCATTTTACTAAATGTTTTCAAAACAATAATTCCATTTATGAATACGCGATCAGATGGTTAGCGGCCGATGTAAACAAATAGACGCTACGTCATGAAGAACTGATGCTTTGAAATGTGCTTTGAAATTGCTTAAAAAAAACTTTTTTCCGTTTTAAATGGAAGATGAAGCCATTGTTCGCTGTATGCGACACTGTAGCAATGATTACAATATATTTTATGTTAATTTTCCAGAGTTTTGTCCAATTTGCAAGGGTAAAATTAGAAATTCGTTCATGGCGTTGCCGCCATTTTGTGTTCCTTGTCCATTCAGTTCAAGCTCCCGGACGCCATATAGTATTGTAGTGAAGCCGACAGATGGTTGCTTTTTGAAGTGAGTATGATTTTATTCATTTTATTATGTATATACATGGTCCTATGTTTCATTCTCCAGTACCTAAATAACGGAAATGTCTATATTTGTTTTTGAAGGACGTATCAAAGTGGACATGACTTGCACATAGGCTTGACTTCCTCGAAAGGTTTGAAGTTAAACCAAACTGTTTCTGATTTTAAAATCATCCTTGATCGCTATTTATTTTTCGTTTACTTTCTTTTGCACCAGGCTTGGTTTATAACTATGATGAAGGTGGTGTCCACGTTGATAGCAATCTCAAATGGTCAATTTGTCTAGCTGTAAATATTTTAGAAATTTTAAAAGGTTGTTCCAGCATGATCCTAAAACACTGGGACGAGAGATTGTGTGAATATAGCAACAAATCAAAATGGACTTATGACAAGTATGATTTAGTTTGATTTGATCGTCGCTGCATGTATGAGAATATTTTTGTATGGTTTTGAGCGGTGTGAATCAGTTTAAATATATTATCAATTTTAGGTACAATCCAACACTAAACAATTGTTATGATTTCGTCCTGTCGTTTCTCCATGAAAGCTTTCCAGGATGTCAAGCGGATTTCGTGAACAAAGAAAACTTTTGCAAGGCATATATTCTACCGAGAACAACAAAGGCTGCACAGTATATTGATTTGTACAGAAAAGTGGTAGAAAACAGCTTTGTAGTGAGCACTGTAAACTGAGAACGAAACATGAACACGTCCAACAATGGCAACATATTGTTTCATCTTAAGAAAGTTTAACGTACTCCAAAGACAAAAATACAACGGGAGATGGAGAGGTTAATCATGGTTGCTCATTCAGTAAAATAAGAGTTTAAACCATACGATATATTTTAAACTTATTTATCCGTTCTCAGTCCAATGCTGTAAGCATAACTTCATGTAATGCAATTTTTCCTTGATATAAATCATATAATTTTTACAATTTCTCAACAAATTCGCGAATTGCACTACCTATAATATCAGGCGAGTCTTCTTGTAGAAAATGCAAACCCTTAGCCCTAATGGCGGTTGTGTTTGGCCATTGCAGGGCTATTTTCTTAATTGCCTTGCTGAAAAAACCAGGTTCCGCTTCAATGAATAATTTTGGCATTTTTGACGTTGCCATGAATTCTTGGTATTCGCTAGCAATCTTTAGCAAATCTTCAGGACCTTCACCTTCAACTGGAATCTCTCTTGGCCAAGTCAACGTTGGTCGTCGACTCTCTCCTTCTTCTTTGTACGGCATTTTGTATGCGTCCATTTCCTCTGGCGTTAAATCGCGCATAATACTATTTGGCAAGAGGCGCTCGACGAATAGATTCTTCTTCAAGATTATTTCTTCACCTGCATCGGAGCGAATTGCTTGAAAAATGTCTCTTGCAATTTCTGGCCAAGTGTCCCAAGACCTGATGGTACCAACCAAACTCTCCATATGAACTATGGCTTTGACCCTGGTTGGATTTCTTTGACACCAGTGAAAACCAAGACCAGAGCCCCAATCATGACACACAATGATTACTTTGTCTGGAAGATTGACCTGGCCAAACCAAGCTGACAAATATTTGTAGTGGTCAACAAACCTGTAAGAGCCATTCCCAGATTTCCCTGTGGTGTGATAATGTGAATATCATTATTCAACTTTGTCGACGTGGATAACTTATATACTTATATTATTTTTACTCAAATGGCCAAGGGGGATTTAAATTGCATTCTACTCACATCACCTCCCTCCCCTAACCCGCCACATCACTTGAAATGCTCATTTGCCTAGTCGTGTTGTTTGTTGTACCTGACTGTCCCATTCCGATGAGATCTGGAGCCAAGCAGCGTGCGATATCTACTGTATGAGGAATAATATTTCGCCAGAGATACGAAGATGTAGGATTTCCATGTAGAAACACAATAGTATTCTCAGAATGGTGATCCTCTGAGTCATAGTAGCTCATATATGAATCTAGCACATTTATCTTCTTGCACTGATCAAACCACTTAGGTCCTGTAATTAAATTTCGCGTTGAAATTAGGTGGCTTACGTTGGGTTTGACATGACGAGCAATTTTTAGAAGCCTGGTCGAAGCCATTTTGGAAGCGGAAGGACCTTGAGTGGTATGACTGGTATCCATGATTACCCATTATTATCCCAATAGACCGAATGAGTAAACATGGCGGACATATAATGCATATTCCATGGAGACATATTTTCGCTTATTTCTCAAACAAAATGTAAAATATCAAGCAGTTTTAGTTGCAATATGAGTGTAGGAAGTCTTATACCTGTACGATTTCTTACATTAACTGCACATCTCGTTATAACCATTGTGATATTTTGGTCAAAGGTGAGCAGTGAACATGGAGTGAAGCTTCCCAAACATACATTTACCTCTCATATATTAGTCGTGTTAATAGACATTTAATTACTCTTACTATTGTAGGATGCCAATCTTCTAGAGTGCCTACCATTATCATATTCCCAGAAGGAATATGATGACAAGGATACAACGTAAGCAAGCTGTAAACACGATTCTGTGCATAAACATCGCCACATTCCCCCTACATCAGTACATCTACACCCACTAAACAACCGTCAAGCTTTCGTCTAAAATGAGTATTTTATGTCCTTTAAGTTTGGTGATTGGTTTATCTTTAATGCTGGCCTTTCTTGGAATAGAATTGCTAAGTTTCCTTGGCGGAGTTTCAATGTTTAATGCTTCGGCTTCCATGTTTTGTATCCTTTTCTTATACAAATCCTATAGTCTACCTGAGAAAAGTAATTTGTAGTTGAGGCCTGAGGGATCTCATGAAATCTTTAACTGAAATACAGCAATTGCGGCCCATGGCATTGGCACCATTTCCTTGTCTTTTTTCATCTTTGATTCGTGGGATTGTGACAGATTTTGGTATATTTTTGGATTTTGCAGGTGATGTATAAGTTTTCATCTATCTTTGGACAGTATTTTAGTTCATACTCTTGTCATGCAATACTCAAGGACTATATATTATCATATATTTTGTCTAGTGCTTTTCCAGTATTAATTGAAATCATTGTGATGGTCGCTGTTTCCTAAAACGAGGAATGTGAAGTTTTAGTGATATTCAGTGTGCACGTATGTACACTTCCAAATACCGGTATGCAACTTGTGTGTGTGTGAATAAAACTGCTGTCGTCCCAGAACATATTTGATCATGGGAATATCTGTCTGTCATGTAAAGAATGAAGCCAGACCTAAGTTTCACTTGTATATATTGACAATATATAATTGTCGCTTAATAGCGATTTTTAAGAACTGGGCATACTGTATATAGGTTGTAAATAAACTAATTTACATGCAAATGATAAGTAGCACGCAACCATATATATGCCCAATGCTAAAGTGTCAGAACCGTATAATGTCTGGACTATAGATACGCCGTCTTTTGAGATAAATAATATGTTTTTCAATGCCAAAAAGACGCTACATTTCAACAATACTTCCATTTTCCGTTATTTGCAATAAAAAATTGACTTTAGTCTACATTTCTAGTGAGGTAAACAGTAATATGCATCGCATATTTGGATTGTTCTCAGGATTTGCATGATCAAAGTTGACGATGATTTGATGAACGTCGTTTCACTACTCGGTGTGATGGCGTGAGCATGTCATTTTTGGGCTCTATTGCGGGTAATAAAATGACGTATCGTCTGTTGACAGGTATCTTTGCCGACAGCAGGTACTTGTGTAGCATTAATATGCGCTTGCTTTGTCCTAAAGCGGAAAAAAACTTAATATTGTCTACTGTTGTGTGAAAAATGTATTCAAGTGCAGAATCGGATTTAACTAGTAACGCTTATCAGTGCAAAATCCAAGCTAAACAAGAATTGGAAGCAGAGGAGTTGTGTTAAATTACTAAATAAATTATTCGTTAAACAGACTGACGTTCTGAATGATTATCATACTACTTGGCTTTTGAAATCCTGTCGCGAATACCGTTGCCTCGATAAACGGATATAAATTTGGCAATATTCGCTGTACCATTGCTCAAGTTGGATTTTAATGGTGCAATCGTTCATTTCTAAACTGGACATTTGCCTTACGGCGAAAACTAATTGATTTGTTGTTTTTGTTTTGGAAAAAACTGTTATATCTTTGCTCAAAATATTGATCAATTCCTGAGTATATTCAGACACCCCTCGTCGGCTGAGGTGACGATTTGTGTGAAAACCCGCGTGTCAATAGAAGTAGAAATCCACTATCATTGATCCAGGGTACGTGTGGATAAGGAGTTTTGAACCGGCATATTTTGCAATAAAGTTTTAATCGAGTACTTGGTGATATTCAAAAGCTGATGATGAAGTACTTAAGATGGTAGCTAACATTTAATAGTGCGAAGATCCGCTCAAGCGTCATCTCCTGTTCTACTTGAATCCTAATGACGACAGAAACGACAACAAGTTCTTTGGAAATATACAATGATGATTGTAACACTGCAATTATTGTGGTTTTTGTTTTGTTTTCCTCATTTTCTATTATGATAAACCTGTTTACAGTTATCAGTATTGCAAGACATTGTGCCATCTCCGTGTGTACATTACTGGCTTGCTGCTTATCTGCAGTCGAGCTGTTGAATGCATTTGCATGTGGAGCAACAACTTTATACTCGTACTTAAAAACAAGCGATAGTTTTGAAAGCAGTTCAGTGCTTTGTAACTTTTGTGCTTGGGTGAATGTGGCGTTTCGTATCATGGCCACTTTAATAGTAACGTTTCTTGTTTTTGATCGATTACTTCTATCGCTTCGTCCTATGCTTTATGTCAAACAATGGAGCTCTTTCCGAACTCGATGGGTCGTACCATTATCGGTATTTGTCGTCGGTGCATTGCTTGCTTCGTTGCCTTTCGCCAACTCTTCGTACAGTATCTCGCCGGATGGTGGGAGATTTCATTGTTTGTTTGATTATACCGGATCATTTGCAATCTTCTATATTGTATTTCATTTTGTTCAATCGTTTGGTGGATTCGCAATCATCCCGTGGGTGGTATCGAGAGAAGACGGTGTGGACGCCCGTCTTAGTGTTCTCGTCGTAGGAGAAATGGTTGTTTGCAGAAAAGGAGATGATATAGTTAAAATTCGAGAGAGCTTAAAAATCAGTCGACTAGTTGGTGCTGTAGTGGTGTTATATCACGGATGCTCTGCGTTCTTTCCGGTAAGCAATGGATTGTTTACCTTTATGTACATACTAGATTAAGTTGAGTATAAAATAAAATATCATATTTATATCACAAGTAAAATACCGGCAGATATCTATATCATTGGCTAAACATCTATGTCTGCAAGTACACTGTATCAACAGAATAACTAAACCATATGGACAACATTAATAGTGATTCCTTTCTTTCTCTATAGATTATTCTATTATTGCGATTACTTCATGTTGATTATCCAGCGGTAGTTGGTCTAATAGCATTACAACTGCCTACGTACGGAGCTATGTTTCTACCTATTGTGTACGGCTTTACATGGAAACCGTATAGAAGAGCCTATTACGCTTCATTTTCTTGTCTATTTCCTCCTTTATCTAAACAAATGAAGACAAGAAGGATTCGGTCTATTTATAATCGTAAGTGTTACTCTAAATTTTCAGAGATTACATGGCCCGTTTGTTTTTGTACCCTACACTAGCGAAGAATGAGGAAAATGCTAGAGAAATACTGAATACATTCAAAAAGAGCGGGAAATAATGCATGAGTAAGAAAAGAGCGGGAAATATTGCAGGAGTGCAAAAAGAGCGGGAAATACTGCATGGGTGAGAAAATATTGCAGGAGTACAGAAAGAGCAGGAAATAGAGCGAAATGCAAAAAGAGCGGGAAATACTGAAGGAGTACAAGGAGCATTTCCCGCTCTTTTTGTACTCCTGCACCATTTCCCGCTCTTTTTGTACTCCTGCACCATTTCCCGCTCTTTTTGCACTCCTGTACCATTTCACGCTCTTTTTGCACTCCTGTAATATTTCCCGCTCTTTTAGCACTCCTGCAATATTTCACGCTCTTTTTGCACTCCTGTAATATTTCCCGCTCTTTTAGCACTCCTGCACCATTTCCCGCTCTTTCTGTACTCCTGCACCATTTCCCGCTCTTTTTGCACTCCTGTACCATTTCCCGCTCTTTTTGCACTCCTGTACCATTTCACGCTCTTTTTACACTCCTGCAATATTTCCCGCTCTTTTTGCACTCCTGCAATATTTCCCGCTCTTTCTGTACTCCTGCAATATTTCCCGCTCTTTTTGCACTCCTGTACCATTTCCCGCTCTTATTTAGTACTGAACGTACTTCTTTATTCTCAGCTCTGTTTCCCCTACAATTTTCCAATACTTCCTCAACATTTCAGTGTCTAAAGAATTTTCCTTGTTCAAACATTTCAGCTGCATTCCGTGAGACGAGAGAATATGATGCGAATAGTATCCTGCATACTCGAGGAGTGAGCTTACATCAAAGTACAAGTCAATTTGACATGAGTAGCACTGTACCATCAAGTTCTGCGCCGTCTGATCCCATAGAATTGGACCCCAGTCAGCTAACCACACATGCCGAACCCACCTCCTTCCGACGACGACCCGATCTCTTACCGAGGGCAAAATCTTTTCAAGAACAATATCGTTATACCCCAACAAAGTTTCAAAGCATTTTCGAAATAATCGATGCTTTGTCGGATCCACGTCGGAACGCAAATGACGAAACCTCGGATCTTTCCGACACGGAGGAATCCAGGATTGATAGCTTGGGTTCATCAGGACCATCTTCTCCAGTTCATCTGAACGAGGTATCTTTAAAAGTAGACGCAACTGATGTGTTCAGTGGGGTAAATTTCTCAGCCATAAATGTATCATCATGGCCAAACAGTACCAAGGTTATAAATAAATCAAGATTGCGTGCTGAACGCCCGGACTCTTTCAAAGGTTTTCATTTTAAAGAAAGTTATAAGGAACAAAACCGGAACGATACGCAAACTGATGGTCCAATTCGATTTACAGATTTAAAGAAGACGAGGCCTGATCCAAAAGCTCAGTCCGCTGTAGATGAGCGCCAAGTTAATGGTGAAAATAGGTTTTTAAGATACCTTGCAAACGAAAGTTATGTAAGCAATAAGGAGTAGTAACTTAGATATGGTTTTATAAAATACCATTCAAATTCTGTACATCATGTTCTCAGTATTAAATACAAATCAATGAATTGATTGCATATCGTGTTGCTTTTTCACTTCGCCTTTACCGCAAAAGGTAACCGAAGTTAGAGTCCTGGGTCTTCCTCCAATGGTCTGAGTACTCTTAGAGCTAAAAAGGAATCAAGGCGATGTTTTAGAACAAGTACGGTTTCCTAAAACAAACTACGCAACAACTGTATTATCTACGCGATGCAGCAGCCGGCTATAACGTGGCCAAAATCACTTCAATTCATGATCATCAAATCTTACCAGCGCATCGCGTCCTCCGATCCCAGGTCAGTGCGCCGTCCAAACAGAATAAGAAAACCTTTCCTGTATCGAGATAGCATCCTAACATAAAGTACTGGGTTAAGTACGGGAGCAATAAGACTGGACATGCCAACGATGGCTCCCATTTTACGATTGTATGCTGTGCTTTTTGAAACCAGGCCGTACAGGTTGTAGATCTGAAACAGATGAAAAACACAGCTATAGGTTATTTGGCACTTGGGAAAATGGGAATGTTATGTCACTGAGATACTTGCCGGCCAATTTCAAACCTACCAAAAATGGCAGCCATGTTACATAATACAGCAACACTACATATCCCATTACTCTGCACAGCTGCTTTGATTGTAGCATTCCCCGGGTCTCCGTTCGTCCCTTTTTATTCTCTTTCCGTCCACCATGAGCTGAGGATAACATTCGTTTCTGTCGTTGCCGAAAGCCTTTCGACGACAGAACCATGGCAAGATATGAGCCAAGGACAATAAAAAAATGAAGCATGCCAATCGTTTCCACAGCTACTCCAAATTCCAATCCAAATTGGTATGGTTGGTAGCGACAATTCACGTCTTTCTTTTCAGTTTGACTATTTTTAAAATGAAACGCAACTGCAGGGGTAGCTATCAATGCCGAGGATACCCAAGCGCCTAGGATTAGTTTTCGCGTCAGAGATAATGTCATTTGCGTGTAATATCTCAGTGGTTGAAAAAGCAAGACTGCTTTCTCAATGCTCATGAGCGAAACAGTGCTGAGTGAGGCAAATCTTAGGGCATAAGTTGACCAGACAAACGTGCCGCAAAGCCCTCGTGACCAGGGACTTATAATAAAATGCGCTTTGATGTTTAGCATCTGTAGCGGCAGCAACGCATTCGCAAAGTCCGAAGTCGCCAGAGACAAAATAAGCAAGTCTATGACTTTGATTTTCTTGTATTGGTGTACGGTTAGAAAGATCAGAACGTTTTCTGAGAGAATTATGAAGATTATCAGCTCGACTGTGAGACCAAACGGAACATTTACGTCGGGAATTTCAATGCTTTCCTCGGTGGCATTGCCGTTGAGACTTGAATTCTTTGGCATTTTCGATGACGGCTTCCAGATGTTTTCCTAGTTTTCCTGTAATTAGTACAGAGCTTATGATACACAACGTACATTCAATATTTACATGATATGAAATGATATATGATTTAATGAGACATGCTCGCATGGAAGAACGAAATACTTCAACGCGACGCTTGTTTAATATACCTCCAATTATCAGAAGAGAAGTGCTTAGGTGCCAACTATGAGTCAATGCCCTCAGTCAATATCGAACAATTTCGACTATCCACAATATGTAATATTTTCCAGCAACAGAATTATTATTAGTTATTTTTGACTACCCATGGATCGACAAATCGCCAGTAAATGACTCGGAATCAAAATCATTTTGACGGCTGTCACCAAAATTCAATGATTATGAATTATTCTGATGTATTATTTTGCACCTAATTGTCAGGAGTGTCTATTGGATATAGGCTATTGGATATAGGCACGGTTTTAGACGTATGAATATTTATAATGGCAATTTATGATCCGGGTCTGTACGAATTTCGTTTAAAAAGGTGACATGACTACAGGAAAACAAAACAAAATTAAAATATATACAAAAGACTATATTAATAGTGACTAGTGTTTTGAAAAATGATTTCACGTCAAGCATTTTTCACGAACAGTAATTATAAACGAATGTGCAGATGCGGCATCTGCTACCTTTCGCCCAGATCGTTGATTCATTTTTCAACGTAATACATATTAGTCAATATTATTTTCTGCACAGTTTTCGCCTGCAATTGTGTTCGGAAATTTTAATTTCAATAATACGTTTTTCTATCAAAGGAAGTGATTAAACTGATATTGTAGTTCCCAGACAAAGATGTAGGCGTCATACAGTCAAGATCTGAACAGACATGCAGAGCTCAAAGCCTCAAAGAGGGTAATTTTCCCCCCGCAAAAGGGCTTACAAAACGACTCGAAACCATGTTGAAATGGAAGATTTAGATACCCATGCAAGACTATAGAGTATATATTCTGTCTATGAGAGGAAACAGCCATTTAAATTGAGTAACGATATACGCAACTCTACTGTACTAGTTGTAATATAAGTTTAGGAAATTGAAGTCCAGACATGGCACATTCCTTCGGCACAGTTCTAATCTAAAGTTCTATAATGATAATCTATTAAATCTACAGCCACATTTTTTAGCCTTGCCCTTGGCCTAAACCACAATGTCATAAATGAATAAACATCCCAAATATTTTACCTTTTTTACTATTCGTGGGAGTTTTATCCGTTAGCTAAATGCATGAATCTGCGGAATCTTCTTCCCAGCAGCCTGAAATTTAGTCTGAAATTTCCAGACGATTTTGACTTTTGTAACGCAGCTGATTGATCAATTAAAATTCAAAAAGAGAAATACAATTGATTTTAACTCAACAATACTTAGTTGCGGGAATGATGGAACTCTCGGCTACCGTGAGTGGACACTGACCTTGTAAAGCATATACATGCAGCCGGTATTATTTATAGACCAGGGTTATACACAACATATAAAATCGTAATAAAACCATACAGTATCAAGTTGTCCGATACAACCGCTGTAGATCAACCTCGTTAAACTCCACCTCCGTTTTTCAGAGTTTTGATTCAACAATTGTCTATGATAGCTTGTCTTGATTGCACTTTGTAGCCTTTGACGTTTCAAAAACCTTTCTGAATGGCTGATCAAAATTACACAGCTGATAAGGTGTTTGCAGAAAATATCATCTCCAGATATATGCTCAGAATATTCAATAACCGCTTTATTGTTTCACCTGCCTTCAGAGCCCAGGAAAAAGATAACCCACGTTAAACCGACCCCATTTCGTCATTTTTCGGTAAAAAAGCTTTGTTCCATTCTATTCTGGGCTACATTTGCATGAATCTTTTTAGATTTTTTTAACATTGTTTCACTCAAGAAATTGAAAGATTGATAATGATATCAGCGCGTTGTAATTGAATGTTTGACTTATTTAATGTTTGTTCAGACTGAAGCCTAAAAAAAATGTAATCTCCTAAGCGCATGAACTCTACTGAGTATAGGTCACAGTACGGAGTCAGCACTTTTACTGGTGCAAAACGACATCTCGCGCTCGAGTGATGATGCAAAGGGTATGCTTTTGTTTACGCTTTGTTTGTCATCAGCGTTCGACACTGTAGACCACCGTATACTACTGCTTCAGAGGCTACATGATCGCTTTGGCATACAAGGCGTGGTTTATCGATGGTTTAAGTCTTATCTGGAGGAGAGAAGGCAGTTTGTATCTGTTGGAAAAGAGCGATCTACCAGTCGTCCCTTAACATGCGTCCGTTCTCGGGCCTCTGTACATGTTGTTCTCCCTCTACATGCATGGCACCATTAGGCAATATTGTGTGCACTCATGGGGTCTCTTTTCATCAATACGCGGAGATCTACTACACTTTTAATACATCTGATGTTGGCGATCTCAAGCACGCCAAACTTAAGTTGGAGGCCCAAATTGTACCCGGCGAATCGAGTGGCTATACTAAACACAAAACTTAACAAAACATTTTAGCAAACTAAGCCGTTCAGCATTTATATTGAGTTTCCTTTCGAGAATGATGACTATTTCGACGTTAAAAACCAACAAGGATTGTTTCAAAACACTAAAAGAATATCAAAACACTAAAATTTCTCGCTAAAAACAGTTAAAAAACGTTTAGGCGTTTAAATCTTGACATTTCCAATCGTGTGCCTTAGTTAATCGTTTTCTGTGCATATGCTTGTTAGGGACCGCCCCCTGAGACCAGGAAAAGCTTAAATACGTTAAATTTATCTTCGCTCTCAGGGCTAGCCACTGTAGCTGATTCGTCTATGACGCTAGGCTTGTGGCGATGCATACTCTGTTTCTCACTGAGACGTAACGGTTAGGTGCACATACATCATGGTCTGGGGGCCGTAGTGCATCTCCCCCTTAGACGGCCGTTAAGATGTGAGTTATGGGGGGGAGTTCTTCCTATAGCAACCGCCTTGCACCTTTCGTAGTTGTAACTATGCTGAATATTGCAGCCGGTTGTATAACCAGGTTAGATTGTGGCATAGGCTGGATGATCTCTTTTGGGTGTTTTTCCCAATTTTTTTTTTTGGACGCTTTCCCAATTTTTCTTTCACATACAAAAAAATACTGGTATTAAACATATATGGAACGGATAGGATTTGAAAAAAAATTTATATCGACTAAAAACCACTTTAGTTAACCCCTGAATACTCTCCCCAGTCTCTGCACGGTATAGGCAATGAATTCAACAATAGCAGAGATCATTCATAAATATAAAACATTTATTATCAGCATTTTCATCAACCTTACAGCAGTAAAACAGCAATAAAACATTCAGACAGTCAACTTTGTAGCACTCTAGCTCATGTGGTATGCGCATTATTCTTCATGAACTGCGTCAGCCGCTGAATTCCTGGTGAAGAGAAGTGTCCATTTAGGTGGCGTCATTTAATTGCCTCGAGAATGATTCGTCATGATGGTTACTGGTTGTAATCATATTATGCATATGTACGACTAAAAATGGCTGGAAATCATTTCATATTATTTTTGCTGTTGTTTTTTAACAAGAAGCTGTCTTGCACCATCACAACTAAACATGAAGCAGGTAAAATTGCAATGGTTTTCTTTTGTCCCTATTTCTTTGTACGACTATAGGATATATTACTGATAAAAGTCTTTAAAAGTTTCTCTACTCATGCTCTGCTATCTTTCCGTGCAGTGTCGATGGTGTGGAATAATGTGGGCACGGGATGTTTCGAGTATGATTTTTACAAACTGATCTTAGCAGAAAACAAAGAAGCTTGCTTGCAAAGTTGCATGGAAGATGTGAAATGCGCCTTCGTGGCATGGCGAAGAAAAAAACGGAAATGTGCATTATGTACTGACGGCTACTTACGCAAAACAAGCTGCGCTTACCATGTTCAGCTTATTGCTAAAGGTACGAGTTTATTATTAATAGCCTATATCTTCATTTGCAAAACGGTAGCTACGTGAGAGTATCTAATTTTCCGATGATTGGGAGTGAGTGCACGTGAGCGGATATCTCACGTCAACTTTTCCACCTCAGATGTCAATGAATGTGCCGTAAAGCAAGATAATTGTGAAGAGAATTCTGTCTGCATAAACACACCTGGAAGCTTCAAGTGCCGTTGTAAAACTGGGTATTACAAAGAATCTGGCCATTGCGTTGAAGGTAGCAAATATGAAAGATTTCAACGGCCATGTTGATGTTCACAGATGTTATTGCCAAGTCGATTAAACCATGAAAGCCCTAATTTTATAGTCTTTTGCTGTCTTCTAGTTCCATATGTCGAATGGATTAGTCGCAAAGACAGTTGTCTTGAGGTAACTTCCTATTTTGCAATCATCGAAACACTCAACGCAGATAAATGTAAACTAAAATGCCAAACAAGCGATTATTGCATGATGGTGCAGTACCAAACTCATGACAAGAAATGCAAAATGGCAAAACATCGCAAATTCAGACCAATTCCGGGGCCGTCCTGTAAGTCGAGGACTGATATTTTTGTGAAAGGTAAATAGACTCTGTTTTTGGTTAATTTACTGTGTAGTATGAGTGTGTTCTTGCTACTGCCAGTTGTTTTGCCTTTGCAGCCATTATTGAATGTGATAACATAGATAAGCTATGTCCGAGGCACGCATATTGTCACTCAAAAGAAGGCAATCGCAAGTGTCGATGTCGCTTCGGGTACAAAGGAAACGGGAAGATCTGTTATGGTATGACAACTCGTATATACATATGCCTGACAGTGTTGTGTATAAAAAAGTGCGTGTAAAAAAAGGAGAACTGCAACGTGCTATAAACTCAGTGTGCATGATCAACACGTTCTCGTTAATCAATCACGGTAAGGAACGCTACTCTTGTGTACTTTTTGAAGACGTAGACGAGTGTGCTACCTATGAAAACCTCTGTGGCCAGCATGCTAGATGTCGCAACATTATTGGCAGTTATAAGTGTGTTT